ATATATATATATATATATATAATTTTTTTTTAAGGAAAAAAATGATAGAGTTTTGGGTTTTGGTGCTTCTAAGTGGATATCCTTAACATTTTTTTTTTAAACGGGTATATGTGAAATTCTAAGATTTGTGCTTTCAAATTTTTGGGGCAACTATTTTATTCCAAATAGTGCTATTAATAGATTATAGAAGGATTAACATACATTAAGCTATTCTACACATTTAACTATCATTTTATTTGGAATTGAATATTTCAGAGGGAACATTAAGTATGTTTCTGCTCCAGGTATTCAGTAAAAACCACATGCCTTAGGACACTCATAGATATACTCTCATATGGTGAATTTTAGACTGAACTCACTTCCCCACTAATACTATACTCAAGTACATTCATTTATCAGTTTCTTAGGGTTTAATCCAAAAAGAAGAGTCCAATCTCAAATCTTATAATTCCAGCATATCTGTGCTCCAACTTGCTCCTTAGCCTTGCTTTTAATTTTTATTTCCCTTGGTCTTTGTTTTTAATTTAGTTATATTTTCTATGTTATAGTATGTATGCTTGCTTCCTATTGCAAAACCTTTGGAAAATAAGAAGGCAAATATAAGTGCATGTATCCAGTAGAATGAAATCATTATGGGAGCATCATTAGCATTGGTTTAAAAATGGATCACCATTTAGACAAATTCACATGAAGTCAGAGATCCATGTGTCATAATGCTGCCCAACATGACTTTTTGCAATTAAGGCAATATTCTATATTTGTGCTGTCCCATGTGATAGCTGGTAGCCTTATGTGACAACTGAGCACTTGAAATGTAGCAAGAACTGAATTTTAATTAATTTAGATTTAAATAGCTACATATGACTAGTGGCTGGACAGTGCAGAAGTGGCCTTTTATTGTGGCTATGTAGTAACATGAGAATGCTTATTTTCTACTCTTCCCTATTTCTGCTCTTATTTTCATTTCCAGGTACTGTACCAAAGCAATACTCTATGTATCTTGTACCCCCTTGCCTCCTCCCCTCTCCCAGGAGTGATTTCCCTGATTGATGAGTTTGGGGTAGGGAGTTGTATGCATGACCTGATTCCTCCTTCCTTCCCTTTCTCTTTGGGCTCAGCCTATGTGCAGAGAGTACATTTTGCCCTTGTCTTAAATGCCTTCAATTTTACAGAAGCAAATGCCAGTGGGAGGGTGGGAGGGCCAGGGTAGTTTAGAACTTTCAGTGTCCATTGCTAGATGAGTCTCTCTAATAGGGGTGAAGTATTAACATAACCCATCAGCCCACAGACTTAATGCTTGGTCTCCACTAACTTTATCAATGAAAAGATATTTTTATCTCCATTGTTCTCTGACTCCAACAACTATAGCTCTATTGATTTAATCTTTGGATAAGTGCAGAAGAAAGTCCTCCAGATCCCCAAACTCTTCAGTGCCTCTTGATTAAGTAATTTTGTTCAAAGTTTTCCTTTATATAGGAACTCAAGTCCCACTTTACAGGTGAGAAAACAGAGCACAATGCCATCAAATAGCTTGCCTATGGGAGATCCAAGAGTTAAATCCAGGCAATCTGGCTCTGCTGCCCTCAGTCCTCCACCACTGCTATCTGAGGCTTCTGACTTCACCAGAACAGTCACCTGAATTGCTTCGAGTCTGGACTTCCAGAGTTAGGGGCTCCAAGCTTTGACATTAGAAATCAAAATGGTGTACCTAATTCAAATGCATACACTCTATCTCTTTAAACTTAGAGTTTGCAAAGTAACAAGTTCTTCAGTAAATTTTAAGCAAGGAAAGCAGCATGCCAGATATTGCCAAGTAACTTCCATATTCAGAAGTGATTTATATTTGCTTTTCCTGAAAAGAAGCCCCCTTGCACCACACCTTTTTTTTTTTTTTTTTCCAAGAATGCTTTTGGATTGAATTTCCAGTGTTTCTAGTTTTATTCTGGATACAGGAAATTTCCAAATATCACAGTGAGACTGACTTGTGTTAGAAGAACCACGTAAACAGAGAAACACACCGCAGAGTTCTTGATTCTACAAGAACTGGCGTCCTGGGAACCAGGGTTACCATTCTTCTTTACCAGATAGTAGCATTCTTGCTTTAGTTTGCTTTTCATAGCAGCTGATAGAAATAAAACCCTTATTGGATATGCTCATCTCCAAACATTATGAAAATTTATCTGTTTAGCATGTTTGAAAAGCTCTCCCCTTCCTCCTCCACAAAAAGACATTCATGGATTATGGTTACACTGCTGGAACCTCATGTAGTTGACTATGGTTTGAGTCTCAGACCTGGCGGCTTAAAAAATTCACACAGGGTGCATGTGCATACGTGCTCAAAATTCTGAGAGGAAAATGGAGAAGGGATTGTGATGTGGCCATCCCCCTGGGGTGCAATTTCTCACTTTTTGTCTCTCTGGAAAGCACATATGCCCTATAACAAAAATCTCCCTTAAAAAAAAAAGACATTCATATTTTAGATGTTTACTACAGTAAAGTTTTAATTTCAAAATATACTTATTCTGTTCTGGAAATGATAGGGGTAGAAAGATTAATTTGAACTAACTCCAAGCTTGATCAGGGGTGATCTTCGGAATCAGGGCATCTCATCTAGACTGTTTCAGCACTTTTTTTGGACAGTCTTCCAGAGACAATTATGAGATCCAGTTGCCCTCACTGTTGTTTTAAAGCTTCAAGCACAGTTACTTCTTGTTGCAATC